CAGTTTATTTATGAGTAAGCTTCTGTATAAGGAGAATATATATGTATAACACCAGTTTTCCACTTGCTTTTTCAGTCAGTCAGCTACAACGTAGGACCAGGCACATATGTGCATCGGTCCAGGTTGCCATACCTCATTAGCACAGCAAGATGAACAGCGGGTTCATATGAGTGGTTAGGTCAAAGGTTGCAATAAGGATATAGTATAGGAAGAAAGAATTAGTTCGTAGAAAGAAAGAATGAAGTGATTTTAGTCTCTTGGTTTAAGGGAAGACAGGGAGTGTATACACCGACGCCATTGTGATCAATACTGAGCCATGTCACCAAGAGTCTCCAACCATTGGTTACGAAAGTCACGCGGACCCCAACCAAGTAGTCTGCATCTACCAACATGGCTCAGACTAGAAGTTAGTGACTTCAAGCACTGATGCCACGTTTTGGTTTGGCCGCCCCTAACTTTCTTCCAACCATCCCCTACCCCGGTTAGCATTGCACGTCGTGGTAATCGGTGTTCAGGCATACGTAATACGTGGCCCAACCATCTCAGTCGATGAAGGTTCATAACCTCATCAACTGATTTACCATCATTACCTAATACCCTGCGTCTAACCTCACTATTACTTACCCGGTGATCCCAGCAGATACCAGCAATATTTCTAAGGCATCTGTGGTCAAATGCTAGTAGCTTACGGGTGTCTTCTACTCTTAAGGGCCATGTTTCGCTGCCGTAAAGTAAGACAGAACGGACTGCCGCTCAGTATACTCGTCCTTTTATTGATAGACGGATATCTCGCCTTCGCCAAAGGTGACGTAAATTGGCAAAAGCCAAACGAGCTTTTCGAATCCGTGCTGAGATTTCGTCAGACACCAACCCATTAGGGCTGATCAGACTTCCAAGATAAGTGAAGTTGTCAACGCGTTCGACTACTTCACTCCCTATCCTTAGTTCAGGTGTTGACGGAGACCAGTCCTGAAGCAACAACTTGGATTTAGAGAGAGAGAAGCGCATTCCAAACATTCTGGCATTGTTGATCAGTGCTACCAGAAGACTCTGCATTTTGTCAGCGTCTTCACCAAACAGGACTATGTCATCTGCATATTCTAAGTCGATAAGTGGACCTCCTGGAAGGAGATCAATACCCGAGAATTTAGTCGACGAGAGTGTTATTTCCATCAATAGGTCTATGATGAAGTTAAACAGAAATGGAGAAAGTGGACAGCCTTGACGGACACCACTTGAGGTTGCAAAATCAGATGACAGTTCGCCATAAGCTCTGACTCGACTAGTAGTGTTCGAGTAAAGAGCCTTCACAAGGTTTATGTACTTCTGAGGTACGCCTTTCAATGACAGACACTGCCACAGAGTCTCGCGGTCTACCGAGTCAAATGCTGCTTTTAAGTCAAGAAATACCACCATCGTCGGACGCCGATAGGTATGCCTGTGTTCTAGAACCTGACGAATGGTGAATATGTGGTCGATGCAGCCACGACCAGGTCTAAAGCCAGCTTGGTTCTCTCGAGTTTGTAGTTCACGAGTCTTAGTTAGGCGTTTGATAATTATCGAGGCTAGTATTTTAGATACTATGTTTGTTAAACTAATCCCTCTGTGGTTGTCACAGGATGATTTTGACCCTTTCTTATATATTGGGACGATAAGTGATTGCGACCGGTCAGATGGGATAAAGTCTAATTCCCAGATCTTAGCTAAAATATTAGTCAACTTAATCGCTAAAATTGGACCACCATCCTTAAAGACCTCTGGAGCCAATCCATCTGGACCAGCTGCCCTTCCTCGTTTCAGATTAACTATAGCCTTTTGAACTTCAGCAAGAGTCGGGGGACCTACTTCAATGTTCCATTCACACTGTCTGGGAATGGAGGGTAGTTGTAGAGTAGCTGAAGGCCAGCTGAACTGTTCCCTAAAGTGTTCCGCCCATCGTTCTAAACGCCTGGACTTGGAGCAGATGAGTGTATCGTCTTTTTCCGATATAATCTCACTTACACTTGACTTATTAATTCCAGTTTCTTTTATTAGTCTGTAAAGCTGTCTTGTGTTCCCTATAGTCGCCGCCTTTTCCATCTCTTTTGCTTTCGATGCCCACCACTGCTCACGGTCGTTTCTTAGGCTTTTTCTTAACCTAGATCTGATTTGTTTTCGCTCTTCATCATGTTCAGAACCTGATGGGACGAGTTTGCGAGAATCCATCAGTGTGACAGACCTTGAAGAAATCCACTGGTTCCTTGCAACTCTGTGGTTTAAGTCACTAATAGATGTCACTGCTGTTTCCACAGCTGATTGTATGCCCTTCCAAGCAACATCTGGGTCAGCCTCGTCTTCACAACTACCTAAGTGTGACCTCAGTTGTTCTTGGAACCTACTTTTGGTTTTCTCGTTACTCAACTCAGTTCTAACGGGTCTTTTTAATGCGGCTTTTTTGCGTCCAGTGAGGCGCAAGCAGATGCGTGCCCGTATTAGGGCATGGTCGGAGTCCAAGCAGGTACTCCAGAATGAGCGACAATCTTCTACCGACCCTCTCCAACGATGACTGATGGCAATATGGTCTATTTGAGTCCATCGTTGGTTTGGTGTAGGGGGTCGCCATGTTAGACGATGTCTCTCCTTATGCTTAAAATTTGTGTTTGCTAAAAATAAACGATTGTCTGAGCATAGCTGCAGCAGACGATCACCATTATCTGTTCGCTGTGTCGGAATACTAAAATATCCACCTAAATGCCTTTCTGTTTGGTTTAAACTGCCTATCTGAGCATTAAAATCACCTGCTACGAGTACTATGTCTGAGCGTTTAGCTTTCTGAAGAAGTTCGGACAGCTTTCTGTAAAATTCATCTTTCACATCATCTGAGCTGCAGTCAGTGGGAGCGTAGGCAGAAACGACAAAAAGGCAACGACGTGTGTCCCTATCCTTCCGAGTTCTTACGTAGCCGTTCAGCCGAACAGCACATAGACGACTGTTGACGGGGATCCATTCTAGCAGTGCTTGTTCGGCCCTCATGCTTAGTGCTATGCCTACACCTGCCAGTCCACGAGAACTTGCCATCGGGTCACCAGATACACGAAGGGTGTATCTCGTTGGCTCTCCGTTTTGCCGAGGTGAGGTCAAGTGAATGACCACACTGGAATCCTGTATGCGTGTTTCGGAGACACAGCACACGTTAATGGTAAGAGACTCTAGGGTTTTAGCCAAGGAAGCCTGCTGACCGATTTGACATAGGGTTCGTACGTTGAAGGCTCCAATGTGTAGTTTGGAGCGAGGTTTCAGTAGACCTGGGACAGTATTTTGCGCACTAGAATCGTTGGCTATGGTGACACTTGAGGTGGAAGCCGAGAGAGGAAATTTAAAGTTGAAAGTCGATGTAGGAGGAATAATAGGAATTGAAGAGGAAGGTTGATTATGAATACAGTGGTCTTGAGTGCTGTTAGAGGTATGAGGGCGGTTTTCACTTCCCGGTTGCCCACACCGTGGAAGGGTTCTTCTGGAGGTACCTGAAAAGGAATTTGGATTAAAGGTGGTCTTAGTGACCTGAGAGCGTGACCGCAGTGCCCAAGGGACAACTGCTTGAGGTCGGTCACACACGACCTTGTTATGGGTAATTTTTGTGTTAGCTCCGTACTTATTGAGACCTTACCGCCGGAGACGGATATCCGTGGGATAAGGCGAGGTGTGCATTTTTAGGGTCGACCTTTTCTAACCCCACCCCTCCTTGTGGGAAGGCAGCATCGCTGTCATGCTGGTTGTCTGAAGGAAACACCTTACTGCTGTCACACCTCTGTACAGTCAGCAGTACGACTTCGCCTTCGGACCTTGGGTTTGTTGCTTTTAGTCTTACCGCTCTTCAACCGACCTGTCTGACATGGTAGGACCTTGAGGAACGGTTGTTCCAGCCAGTATAGCTCGGTTGCTTCATCACGATAGGCAAGCCCGACCACCACGTCAAGGTAGCAACAACGGTCGGGAACTTGCTTTTTACTTGTCACAAATCGTTTCCCGATTCTTTACTGATTCAGAAATTTTTCTAACACCTTAACAAACAAACCAAAAAATGAGTGGAAAAGCAGTTTTGATGCAGTGAAGCTGTTCTCATTGTTTTCCACTTCTGTATACATATTTCGTATTAATTCCCCACTCATTTTGATTGTGCTTGAATTCGCGATCTCGTGGATCATTTAAAACTTCTGGTGATGACAGTCTTCTGTTTGGTACTTGCTTTAAGTCTCTAGATTATGTATCTGCAACTCCATAACTTTCAAAGAACTTATTATAGTCACCTATTTCACATTTTCTATTTTTTGTCTTCGGGATTTACATCTTGGCATTTTGAAATGAAATTTAGGTTGGACTTTATTTCAGAGCTCACTTCCGTTGTTGGTAACAATGCTAGTATGTTTGTGAAAGTTCATATCAAAAATGCTTCTGTAATAGCCTATTCTGCTGCAGCAATAAGGTGTCATCTACTAAATCATCTGTTCTAAAAAATATGCAAATCAGCAACTAATTACTTTCTTGCTTTTCGAAAAAACACTCATCTGGAGAGCACTTTACATGTTGATATTAGGTTCAGCGTTTCTATCGTGATAACATACTTAACATCCTAAAATACGTTTTGTTGTCATTCATCTGATGCTTAGTCACCATGGCCTTTTTCATATTTCCCCGTTATTATGTTATTTTGTCCTCTAATTGTATTGTGTTACATGTTAACTTTACACTGCTTTCGACTTTTTTGTACTGATGTGGTGTGTATAATACTGATTATTGAGCTTCATTGGCAGATAAGTTGAATATCTTAATGTTCTGGTTGTTTGCTTAGTTCGTTCAGTACCTATTCAGATTGTCTACTGAATTTAATGCTTCATATTTAACTATTTATTATTTTTAAAGTGAATTTCGCTATAATTTTTGTTTTCTGTTGTGCTTTCATGCTTTGTAGCAGTCTTAACATACTGTGTGTCCATTTGTTCTTCATATATCGCAAATTTTAGGTTTGAAGGTTTGTGGCTCTGGATTCACGTGTTTTAAGTACTATTGTCTAACATTTCTACTTATTAACTGTAGTGAACCGAAAGTTTGTACGACTAAGTGATGTCGAGACCTATCTCTGTAGTAGTAGTTGAAAGACACAATGAGGTAAGGCATTCAATAAATTATTCAAGGTTTTAAATTATATATACCGGGCTATTGGAAGCAAAACAATTTCCTTCTCTGGATTGAAGCTATTACATTTTGACTCTCATCCTGATATGGGCATTCCTGATGTTGAATGTTCAGAAATTTTGAGGGACCCTGAACAACTCATGAAGTTTGTTTTGTCGTCTTAACGTTTCTCAAACTCCAGGAAAGTAAGCATAGAAAACTGGATAACACCAATGATATATGCTGGTCATGTTGACCATGTCATCTGGATGCACCCAACGTGGTCTCGACAGCTCCTGAATAGGAAGCCAACATGCTATTCTATCGGTGAAGACCTATGCACGAAAAGATTAGTGTAAGTTGTTTTTTCATCGGACTGAAGCATCATAACATGGTGCTATCTAGTTTATGTGGTGTATGTGGCTTATCATTCCTCGTTTTAACATTTAACGTAAACACTGAAAGATATACAACTGTCACATTAACCCTACCTTTTGATTGTTTCAGTATAAGGATAAGATATAAAATAATACTAGCGGAAAGTACTCACTATGAACATTTGTATTTATTGCCATCAGAAATGTGTTAATGATGATTTTTATTGTTAATATATTATGCTTATGGTTTTAGAGATCGACCCGCACGAACATTTGTTGTCATATTCATACTACAAAAATGTTAATATCCTGTTATATCATTAAACCAACACAGCATGTTCTGAATATTTTTGACGAAGTGTAGGATGTTTAAAAGTTTTTGCGAATTGGTAATAGTGCTTTTGGACTTACATAGTATGACCCATAATTTGTAAATACAATGTGAACCGGGTAACAGACTTCACTTATCAAGTAGTTACTTCATCCTGATAGTCAACGAAACTCCGGTATTTATATTGCACGGCAGCCTGAATTTTGCTATTCTGTAGTCAGTCAGTCAGTAACGACGTAGAACTTCGTACCTACGTATATCAGTTCGAGTTGCCACACTACATTAGCACAAAAATGCAGTGGTCGATTCAAATCCCATAGTGCTAGATGTAGTAAAATTATAAGTTGTAATCAGAAAAATTAGAGTTTGAAGATGTTATTCAAGGAGTATAATGCAGTGAAATAAATTTAGAAAGAGAAAAAAGAAAGGGATATGAAGAATTCAGAAGATTAGGATTTGGGAGAACACAGAGTGGATGCACCTGCGCCATTGCAAACGATTTTGAACCATGTCATTCATGGTCTCTAACCATCGGTTGCTATCATCTCGCGGTCCCCAACCAGGTAGTCTACACCTACCAATATGACTCAGCCTACTTGTCAGTGACTTCATGGACTTGTGCCATGTTTTTTCGTCTGGCCGCTCCTAGCTTTCTTCCAATCTACTCCTATATAACAAAACATCGCACGTCGAGGCAGTCGGTGGTTGGGCATACGTAACACATGTCCCAGCCATCTCAACTGATGAAGTTTCACTACGTCATCAATTGATTTGCCATCCTTACCTAGTATCCGTTTCCTAACAACTGAGTTACTTACTCGATGGTCTCAGGATATACGAGCAATGTTTCGAAGGCACCTATTATCAAATACTAGTAGCCTACTAATATCCTCTACTCTTACCGACCATGTTTCACTGCCATAAAGTAGGACGGAACAAACTGCTGTGCAGTAAACACGTCCTTTGGCTGATAGACGAATATCTTGCCTACGCCATAAGTGACGCAAGTTGGCAAAAGCTAGTCGAGACTTCTGTATCCGTGCTGAGATTTCGTCACACACCAGACCACAAGGGCTGATGAGACTTCCAAGATAAGTGAAGCGATCGACACGCTCAATTACTTCACTCCCTATCATTAGTTCGGATGTCAGTGCAACCCAATCCTGAAGCAACATTTTGCATTTCGAGAATGGGGAGAATCGCATCTCGAACATGCTTGCATTGTTGCTTAGAGTGGTCAGAAGACTGCATTTTGTCAGCGTCTTCGCCAAATAAAACTATGTCATCAGCATATTCTAAGTCAACAAGTGAACCTCCCGGCAGAAGTTCAACCCCTGGAAATTTAGATGAGGAAAGTGTCATCTCTAAAAGCACGTCAACGACAAAGTTAAACAAGAATGGAGAGAGTGGATAGCCCTGACGAACACCACTTGAGGAAACCAAATCTGATGACAGTTCGCCATAAGCTCTCACTCGACCAGTTGTGTTCGAGTAGAGAGCCTTTACAAGGTTAACGTACTTCTTTGGTACTCCTTTCAGTGACAAACACTGCCATAGAACCTCACGATTAACAGAGTCGAATGCTGCTTTAAGGTCGAGAAATACTACGATTGTGGGGCGTCTGAATGTGTGTCTGTGTTCTAGGACCTGACGTAGTGTGAATATATGGTCTATACAACCACGTCCAGGTCGAATACCGGCCTGGTTTTCTCTAGTCTGTTCTTCACGAGCTTTGGTTAGGCGTCGAAGTATTATTGAAGCTAACATTTTAGACACTATATTAGTCAAACTGATTCCTCTGTGATTGTCACAAGAGGACTTTCGTCCTTTCTTTTAGACTGGCACAATCAGTGATTGAGACCAGTCAGATGGTATTACGTCCAGTTTCCAAATTCTACCCAAGACCTCAGTTAATCTCACTGCTAATACTGAACCACCATCCTTAAAAATCTCAGGAGTAAACCTGTCAGGGCCTGCTGCTCTCCATCACTTCAGATTTCCTATGGCTTTTTTATAGCAGAGAACAATGATCACTTATAACAAAAGACTCCACGTCATGGGCATTTATACATAAGCATCTCAATAGTACTATTTTTGCGACAAAACAGATGAATGATTATTCTGGAGTTATGTACGGAGGGCAATGTAAGTCATTTGATATTATAGTTAATTAAAAATTCCCTGTATCTTATAACGAAACTCTCCACCGTTTCGGAAGTTTGGTTTACGTCAGTTTTTATCATTACATCATTTCAATAGTACATGTAATTCTATTCTACACCTCTTCAATGTATGGATGTCTGAAAACTCTCAGATCACTATTGTCTTCCAACAGTTGTCTTAATATCATTATGTAAAAATATTGTGGGATCTGGCGACACATGTCTAGGCGTAATTTTCCTGCTTCTGTTTGCTCAGCCGGGCATTATTCCGGCCCTTACACAAATTGAATGACGAAGTGTGGCGCATATATGTTTGGTGTCTCCTTGTACTAATGAAATAGGTCCCCCAACTCTAGCAGAAGTTCAAAAGGCTATAGTTAATCTGGAACGAGGAAGGGCATCTGGTCCAGATGGATTGGCTCCAGAGGTCTTTAAGGATGGTGGTCCAATTTTAGCGATTAGGTTGACTAATATTTTAGCTAAAATCTGGAAGTTGGACGTTATTCCATCTAACTGGTCACAATCACTTATCGTCCCAATATATAAGAAAGGGTCAAAATCATCCTGTGACAACCACAGAGGGATTAGTTTAACTAATATAGTATCTAAAATACTAGCCTCGATAATTATCAGACGCCTAACTAAGACTCGTGAACTGCAAACACGAGAGAATCAAGCTGGTTTCAGACCTGGTCGTGGCTGCATCGACCACATATTCACCATTCGTCAGGTTCTAGAACACAGGCATACTTATCGGCGTCTGACAATAGTGGTCTTTCTTGCTTAAAAGCAGCATTTGACTCTGTAGACCGCGAGATTCTGTGGCAGTGTCTGCCACTGAAAGGCGTACCTCAGAAGTACATAAACCTTGTGAAGGCTCTTTACTCGAACACTACTAGTCGAGTCAGAGCTTATGGCGAACTGTCATCTGCTTTTGCAACCTCAAGTGGTGTCCGTCAAGGCTGTCCACTTTCTCCATTTTTGTTTAACTTAATCATAGACCTATTGATGGAAATAACATTCTCATCTACTGAATTCTCGGGTATTGATCTCCTTCCAGGAGGTCCACTTATCGACTTAGAATACGCAGATGATATAGTCCTGTTTGGTGAAGACGCTGATGAAATGCAGAGTCTTTTGGTAGCACTAAGCAACAATGCCAGAATGTTTGGAATGCGCTTCTCTCTCTCTAAATGCATGTTGTTGCTTCAGGACTGGTCTGCGTCAACACCTGAACTAAGGATAGGGAGTGAAGTAGTCGAACGCGTTGACAACTTCACTTATCTTGGAAGTCTGATAAGCCCTAATGGGTTGGTGTCTGACGCAATCTGAGCACGGATTCAGAAAGCTCGCTTGGATTTTTCCAACTTACGTTACTTATGGCGAAGGCGAGATATCTGTTTATCAATAAAAGGACGAGTATACTGAGCGGCAGTCCGTTCTGTTTTAATTTACGGCAGAGAAACATGGCCATTAAGAGTAGAAGACACTCGTAAGCCACTAGTATTTGACCACAAATGCCTTAGAAATATTGCTGGCGTCTGCTGGGATCACCGGGTAAGTAATAGTGATGTTAGACTCAGGGTATTAGGGAACGATGGTAAGTCAGTTGATGAGGTTGTGAATCTCCTTCGACTGAGATGGTTGGGCCACGTGTTACGTATGCCCGAACACCGATTACCACGACGTGCGATGCTAACCGGTGTTAGGGATGGTTGGAAGAAAGTTAGGGGCGGCCAAACCAAAATGTGGCATTAGTGCTTGAAGTCACTAGCTTCTAGTCTGAGCCATGTTGGTAGGTGCAGACTACTTGGTTGGGGTCCGCGTGACTATCGTAACCAATGGTTGGAGACTCTTGGTGACATGGCTCAGAATCGATCACAATGGCGTCGGTGTATACACTCTGTCTTCCCTTAAACTAAGAGATTAAAATCGCTTCATATCTTCCGTTCTACGAACTAATTCTTTCTTCCTGTACTATGTCCTTATTGAAATATTTCTTTTATATATTATCACCATTGAAGTGACTACTCCTATGAATCCAGTGTTCATCTTGTTGTGTTAATGAGGTATGACAACTTGGACCGCTGCATATATGTGCCTGGTCCTACGTTGTAGCTGACTGACTGACTAATGTTTATGTGTTTAAGTAAATAATAATAATAGACGTAATAGTGAAGATTTCATAAGTGTCGCTACTTTGAAAATCGAACTTTGTTCACGTGTTTTGCATACAAAGTTCCAACTGCTTTAATGCTGCGCATTATTTAGTGATTCTGGTTAAAAAAACGGCGAACCTGTTATTTCACGACATATTGCCACAGAATAATGGATGATATAATACATGCTTGATTCCCTGGGGTTTTATAGTCTTGAGACGGTCGGAAGTCAATCAGAACAAATGTCAGTTGAGTTCTTGTCGGGGTTTTTGATTATGTTCATAAACAGCAGTGCCTAATTTCGCAAGATATAAGATTACTGTTGGGTGCTTTGGGTGACCAAATGTTTCTTCACTCATGTGTTTCATACACCTTATTTATTTATTTATTTATTTATTTGAACACATGAATGTTGGCACAAAGGGGCACTGAATGCATATGCACCACAAGCCACTTGATTTGTATGTGGGCTATGATATTGGGCGGGTGCCCAGACCAAAGCAGGTGGTTTTCTTAGGAAGCCACACCCGGAGCCTTTGACCAGAAGGTCTGATCCACAAGGCAGTGGAGCATCGTAAGGAGATCCAGTCCCATGGTAGCTGGTGACCAACGATTGGTTCATATGCCATTTGTTATTTTAGGATATTGGAACCATGTGCACCATGGGTTTGGAATCAGGGTTTTCCAAATCCACTAGGTGGACTCTCTTTGTCCACCAACCCGCTTAAAGCTCCGGACATCGGCTTTTCGTCCTCTCAATTTCGTAAACAACATCCTCGCAGCAAGAAGGCAATCAGTAGGATTTCCTTGTCAGCGGCTGTGTACGTGTGTCCATGTGAGAGCATTTCGAGAGGGAGAGCTGACTCTTTCCACTCTCGGTCGTACTAGGGACCGCTTTATTTAGTGGCTCCTTATTCCCACTAATCCATTATATAAAACGTTTTATGTTGTGCAAAATATTCGTTAAATCCATAGAGGATGAAGTTGTTAAATAAATAAAAGCTGATATATTTCGATGTAAGAAAGGAAACAAAGAAGACAGATAGGGATTTGCTATATACCAAAAATAAATCGAAGATATGTCTGAACACTGTTTTTTTTATATATTTTTTACACTGATCAGTAATCAGATTTCGAATAGGTAAATTGAGTAGCACTTGAAGTTAATTAGTATGTAACTTGCTGTATGTGCACAATTTACAATACCGTAAGTTGGGCGACCACGAACTTTTGAACCACTGTCCGGTTCTACCAAATTCATCTTAAACAGGTCTTAATTTCTCCATTACCAAGTATTGAGCTTTACTTTACGTCTTAAATTGAAGTTAAAATTGGAGACTGACTTTGAAATCGCTTTTTTTCTGAGATGCTACAAACTGAAGACTAAAGGAACTTCGCAGTCAATATCTCAGTTAACTGTTTTTACCAGCTTTAAGATTTTTATGTATTTTATCCAGTAACTATTTGATTTCACCAGTTATTTGTATAGTCTATAACGTCAGATAGGTGAAGCTACTGTGCTCCTGACCTCATGAGGATCACTGTTTACATCGACGTAATGGTTCATAATCAAGCAAAATCACTCAAATTTACTCTTGTTTTGTAAATCTTCAATACTTATTACTTTCTCTACCTACTGTCAATCTTCTAGTTATATTCTAACTTTATAAGCCTAACAGTTTACTACTTGTTCTTTTGGATAAATTCACCTATTATGTAAACTGTCTGTTAGCTTCTAGATAAATTTTTACAAAAAGTGTTTGATTTCTTAAGTGATTGCATGTTGGAAATCTCTTCTTATTATTTAACTGATTATCAAACTTTAATATCCTTACAAATTTATGTTGTAGGGTTGGCATCCCTGAGTCCTATTTCTATAATGATGGTGTATTCTGTATGGAGGAGGATATTAGCTCTCCTGTGAAATTCGGGCTAACAGTTGCTCCAATTCATGAAACAAATACGTTATGTAGAGTGTGTACAGATATCATATGTGTATTGCTTAACCAGTCTTTTATTCTGGATATTGATTTGGATACTTTTTCCACTCAAAACCCACTTTCTAATAAGTTTACAGAGGAACAAGTAAGCTGTCATATTTATGTATTTCAAATTCGGATGTTATCATATCTCTGCAGAATAAATTCGAAATTACATATCTATCGATTATCAATAAAACATTTTACTATTTTTCTATCATTCAGAGCATGTAATGTTTCAGAAATTACCAGTAGAATAAATCTCAACCGTGTGCGATTTTCTACAATCGCATTTCCTAGGTGTACGATACTCTTACGAAACCTTTGCATGACATCCAAATATGGTTGTTCATTTGGCTACATCTGACCCATATAATAGATCCTCACAACCCACCGTTCATATACCTTAAAGTTGCCATGCCAACTTATTTTAATCTCCCAGGTGTAGTGCTAGCGATGTAAATCTTGATCACAACTAGTAAGAGAAAATTAAGCTAAGAATTACTCATTAATTTTAAACGTGACTTCATCTGTGTGATTTTCAAATGATTTTGTGTCCAAGTGATAATTATTCGGTTCGATAATTTTCGTAATTAATAATCGCTGAACTTATATGATACGTAAATAAATACACTCAAATGTGATTTGATTTTTTTAAAACGTCTTTATTAAATAAATCTCTCATTCAAAATAGTTGCGTTTAAGAAAGAAATAAGCTATAGTATCCATGTTTGAAGTATTAGCGTAAGTGCGGTCACCTCAACTAAATTACAGGTATAGCTTCGACTTTGAAATAGGACAGTGCAGTTCTGGTCTCGATAACTATCGATAGTTTCACTTGAACTATTCAGTTCAGTATTACTTGTAAACACCTGTTGCCCTCTGTTTCACTAAGTACAGTCCAAATAAAACTCAGACACATATGTAGTCATTGTACCATCCAACTAAATGTCTCCGTAGAATTACTTCTAAGTGTGGATTTTTGTATTCCATTTCAGGAAACAACGATTAGTAGTTTTTCTGTTATTGTACTGTGACAACCGTCTGTTTATAATGAGTATCAAAATCAAATTGATTGAGATACATTGGTTATCACGATAACCAATTGCACGAGCAAACTGTATTACCATCAAAGTCGTCGGAGATCAAAGTGGTGTCACTCCAGGATTGTATATTTGAACTCCGACCATGCTGTAGTATTAACAAGTACAACTGTACGCTTTGTTGGCAGTTGGGAAGTATGGAATAATAATACTTCTATAAGGTAGGGTCATGAATAAATCTAATAATAAAGACATATCTAAATAAGAACAAACTAGGCACTTAGTTGAAGCATGAAATCTCCTCTGAGATGTCCTGGGATGATCATAACTGGTGTAAAAACGTCTGTTATCAACATTGGGTTAAAAGTCAAAAATTAAGTATATTTGCGCAGCTTTTTAACTGACGTTTTTAAAAGTTCATAAGTAGTTATAACCAATCTGAAATGCAGAAGAACAACAGATTTTGGCTGAATAACTTTACATATCTTTAAGAATAGTGATCTATAGTCATGATCTGAAATAATTGATCTCAATCACTGACCTTCCTAGGTTACATAAACAAACAGGCTTCTTATCAATAATCAATAGTTAGACTCCTGTTCATCTATCTAAGACTGACTCTTATTTTCCCATTTTGTTACAAAAAGTGGTTAGTTGATGAAGAATCGTAAGTGGAGTTTCAGAGCACTAACTCATTTTTCGAAATAATAACAACAGTTTTCTTCCAGCCATATTACTTGGTTATTTTTATTTACTTAATTTAGCTGAAGTTTAAATTAATTGTTTGTAATATAACGGGCGAATAGAAGTATTTCCTGCTTGCCACGATATACTAATATTATAAGATGATACAGCTGGTGATCGAAATTATATTACCACTAGACTGGATCACGTTATACTGAATACGCGATTTACGATCATACATAAAGAATTAGAGCGTAGGCTAAACAATACTTTATTCGACACAATTACAGGGAGTCTGTGTTTAGTGAATCCAGAGTAGAAATTGTTATTAGAAAGGAAGTCACACATTAAACAGTAAGTGTTTACCTGTCTACAATCAGCGATCACTCACATCTTACTTTTGCTAGCCACACATCAGTCTGATAGTAAGTCCCTTTAATACTTTGCAAGGGTTTTTATTGGATCCCATAAACTTACAACCAATTAGTAGTATTGATATTTTAAGCTGTGATATATTATTCTTTCAAAACTATCTTTGATTTTAGTTCGAAATTATCGATCGCTTGTATGCTCCACCTCCACCACTTACTTTGTGTTTGTCTCCGAAAGATTTGGAAGATCCAGCCGTTATTGTGGCTCATGGTATGAGCAGTGCTCATGTTCTAAATGCTGCTCGAAAACGTCAACTAACACGTCTTTCACAATGGATTTCTTGTTGGGATCGTGGAACAATTCCATCAACTGAAGATTTTCTTCTATTTCCGTATGAATTAATGGAGTTTTCTCGATTAATCCTCTCTCTGACTGAACAGAAATTTAGTTCTACTGTCTTAAGAGCAGTTAAAAAAACTCTAGATTTAGCTTACAAACAAACTACTCATAACAAAAATCCGCCATTGATTTCACTCGGTTCCGATGATGAAACCATTCAAAATGCTTTAAGTAAGTTTTTCTTGAAGTACAATAAATTTAAGCTTCAAACGTTTAACATCATTTTTATTTCACCCACGAATTACTCAACTTTTTAAAATTTTTATAAAAAGGTTTTTCTTTGTAAGTTAATATAAATAGTGAAAGAACAAACTGAAGCGAAACGAGTATTAGTTTGCTAGTTGCTTTTTGGTTACTTTGAAATGTACATTTTATTTATTCATTTTTTCAAAATATAGTAATTTGGTCAGTTAGAAACAACGTAGAACTTCGTACGTACGTATATCAGTTCGAGTTGCTATATCACATTAGCACAGAGATTCAGTTGTCGATTCGAATCCCGTATTCGTAGAGGTAGTAAGAGTATAAGCAGTAATCGGAAAGACTAGGGTTTGAAGATGTTATTCAAGAAGTATAATGCAGTGAAATAAATTTGGAAAGAGAAAGAAAAAGAAAGGGATATGAAGAATTCAGAAGATTAGAATTTGGGAGAACACAGAGTGGGTGCACTTGCGTCATTGCAAACGATTTTGAGCCATGTCATTCAGGGTCTCTAACCGTCGGTTGGTATACTCTATCCTATATGTTCGTGAATATGATAGACCAGTTAACATGTGTCACAAGATTTTTAATTTAACCTTCAGTTGCCGTCTACTTTTTAACTGATATTATCTTTTAATATTATAAATATATAACATCCTTCATTCTGTATAGTGTTCAGTATTGTTAACAATAATCGTCATCTTTGCTGAACTGTAAGATTAACTAGATTTCGGGATCATTTTAGATATGGTGAAGTTCTTTCAAACTATCTTTAATTTAAAGGAAACTTAAATTTAGCTTATAGATCATTTGAAACTCAAACAAAAGTTATCATCCGTGGTGAAGAAATTATAAAATTGTAATATCTCGGTGATTGGGAAATTGGATTTCTGACGTTTCACGGTTGTTTCTTCACAAACTAAATGCATAACAAATAAACCAATACAAATTTAAATAGTTCATAAGGTGAAAAACAATATGTTTAGTTCAATTAAATTAAGTCCGGTCACTTTCATGTCATTGTGATCAAATGTGATTCTTTACGAGATATACTTATGTGTATTCTAGTGAGTGTGAAAAAGTATTAGGTTTGTAGTGTTGACAAGCGGAGTTGAGTAGTTGTGTGTTTATTCATCAGAAATATGTGATTCGATTTGGGTCATAGACAAATGAGCAATAATAGACCATACATATGGTTTCATCGATAGTACCATCCGACTACATATCTGGCTCAGATAATTAAATGATAAAATTATCGTTATTAAAAAGGCTTTTTTAAGAATATTCTGCAGTGTTAAATATTAACTTAGCTTTAATCAAACTTATTTAATGAATGGAAAATAAACTCAATGAAGTACTATTTCTAAACTATTTGGTCGAAAGGGATTCTAATGCGAATCTAACTCTGACCGTGTGCTGAAAACTGAAAAATTCAAATTGGCATATTGACTTTAACTCAATGCACCCATTCAGTTCACAAATTTCGCTGTTTGTAAATTTATTCAAAAGAGCAACCAAAATTATTACATCGTAACAAGAGAAACAAATCAAAGAGAAGAATATAGTTAGCATTCTACAGTTTCGGAATTTACTCATGAATATTATTTAAAATGTACTAAAATCTAATGATCTGTTGTTAAGTAATGAGTCAAATGTAATATCATGAGTTGGTACTGTAGTTTTACTCTATCGCCGCGATACAACAGAACTGCAACATATCTTTAAACTACAAAGAATTAAAGCTTTCTATCAGATGACAAACATGCTTCAGAACGCTTTAATTTAAATAAACGAAAGAATCCATTACTCCTCGACACATAATTATATCTACAGATTAGGATTTTTAGAGTTTGATGGTTCCTATATTTAGATGGTTATGTTGTAGTGAGTTCTTTGGCAAAATGTGAAGACCATACGTTCAATACTTCATTTGCAAATCCCCCATCGATTGTCTCAAATTTCATCGCTTTTTCATTGCCATAACAATTACTAACTGTTCCCGTTTTCTTTTATTCGATCTTCCCAACTTGTTGCTGCCAGGCATTTCACCTCTGATTTGTGTTGTATACTACTTATGTCGACATAAATAGAATACACCACAATGTCGTAAAAGCGCGACTCACACCAAGGAAGGTTTAAGCTACACAAAAGACCTCTTAATAATCCTGTTGAACTTGTGAATCTTCGAATCAAATCAGCAGTATGAGTACATTCAATTCTGAACGCCCACCAAATCGATATTAATAATTCAAAAACGCTTTTCCAACTGTAAAGGAATGTGAGCGGCTGAAGCTCTTTATATATTGCTGAACCCCACTGCATACAAAAAAACCCAAAAAATAACTATCCATCCAATTTGTATTATTTATCTATAAAACCACATATTTATTTCTGTTCACATCTCACACCGCTCAAAAACATACAAATATTCAACTCTGTTCGTAAACAGTACAAGTATCATACTTTTTCACACTCACTAAAATACACGTATGTGTGTCTCATAAAAAATCACGTTTGATCGCACTAACATGAAAACAATCCGATTTATTTTGATTGAACTAAAAATATTTTCAAGTGTTGTGATGGTTTTTGAGTTTCATTACAACCACAACCCACCAATCAACCATTGAAGACTTTGAATTACTAGATGGTCGTGTGAGACCGGAGGCTCTGGGTTCGCTTCCCGCTTGCGCAATCGTTGATGTATATAGCTAAGAAGCCCCGTGCTAGGATGAAATGACCGTCCAGTGATTCCAGGTTTTAAATGGTGGTCTAACATTGATCAATTCTAGATTTCAATAAATATATGCTGCTTGGTTCTTATGTACTATTTGAACTTGTATTGGTTTAATTTGTTAGTTATTTATTCTGTCAAGAAACGACTCAAAGTAAACCGCGAATCTTTAGGAATCTAATTTCCCACTCATTAGGATATTGCGAATTTATATTTCATTACTAACAATCTACTCAATGCTCGATTTGTTTGGTATGATCAGGTCACACCTTGGCAATAATACATACCAATTATTGTGGTTAGTTTGTTTAAGCTTATAGGTTAGGCTTACTGTTTTATAATTTGGAATTAGGTTTTCAAGAGGGATTGGATAACTCACATAATGTAACCAGTTGTTCGTTGAATTTGCGTCCTAATTACTGTTGTACCAAATGCTTAATCGTAATTTTACTCAATACAGATGGTGTGTTTAGGCGATGTGACTGTTGACTTCGGAAATTAAGTAGAAATATTACAGTTGTTTATATATTACAGACGAAGTAGCTGAGACGAATGATTTAAGCAAATTTTCTATAGGCGTTACTCCCTAAATTATTATTGTATTTTTGTATATAGTTACTTGGTTATTCCACTGTGGAATCGCTTGGTAGTTAAAACTTCGTTTCTTAAACTTGTATAGATATATATTCCATTCCAGGAGAATTCACTAAGGGCCCTGATTCCAACCTGACCAGCAGCTTACTTTTGGACCAGAACACCTCGGAAAGTAAAGATTCTTCATTTGTATCGGATTACACTAGCTTTATACCAATGAAACGTCGTTCCAGTAGTCCTGGCAGTGTATATACAGATTCAAAATCAAAACTTCGTTCATCCGAACCATTTGTAACATTTAATAATACGAGTCCGGCTGAAGTTGATGAAAATTGTCAATCGTCAAACACTTCTCAGTATTCTATGGAAGTAGATGATGCGGATACTTGTAATCATAATGGTTTAAATGAAAATCGTAGTTTAAAAGTAGTTTTAACTAAATTGGAAGCAAATTCAAACACATCTTGTATAATTGATGATGACAATGAGGGTGGTGATGTTCTAAGTGTTCAACAATCTGCTCCTCCTCTATCAAATAAATATAATGAAGAAAATCTGAATTTTATGCATTACTTATGGTCTGGGTGCGCAGATCAAAAATACAATGCATTGCCACATTCTGTAAGTTTAATTATTCTATACTTTTTCAACTAACTATCAACTGAACACCAATACTATTGAAATTTTGGCATATATGAATGTCACCAGGTGGAGTTCGAGATTAAAGTATGCAAACGTGTGGATTAAATAATAGAATAATATGAGAATCTTGATGAGTGACATAATTTTAAAAAAGCTATATCAAATATGTTAATGTTATGAAAGTTAGAATAAACACAATAAATTCAAAAATAACCGTAACGTATTTTCAACAATACAGTATTGCTGTGGTGTGTTTTGCTGATGTCGACAGATATAAGCAGTATGTGTCATCAACCGAAAGCGGAATGCCTGGCGGCAGAAGGTTGAGAAGATCCAAGAGAAGAAAATGAGAACAGAGAGTGATTGGTATATGAAAATGAAGAAACAATAAAGTCTGAAACAAATGATGGACATTTTGCCAATGAAGTATTTACTGTATGGTTTTAAGATTTTACTAAAAGATTCTGTAATTTCGCATTCAAATATATTTGGTTGTTTCACTACATTGTAACATAAAATATAGAATTCTTCACTTATACATGAATACAAAATATTACTACTATTTTGACAATGATTTTTAAAAAAAAGTGTCATAGACAAAAATTCTATAGTTCAATTAATCATGTATGGTTTATTTATGACCAACAGACAGATATTTGCAGCATGGAGTCTGACATATGTGTATTGGATCAAGTTGCTTCAGTACATTTGTACTAAGAGATTTTGTTTTTGAAACTTAAATTATTGTATGCTGATAAGTCTTCTAATTGAACGCTAGATTCGGCTTCCTAAGGTCTTCTAGTAACCCCCAGGCTAAATCTACACAGCAACCTGAACACGAGAGAAAAGGCACGAAATATAGAAAAAATGCTTTTCTCCAAGGTTCATTTTTGTACAGAAAAACTAGGATATTTATAGCATTTTAGATGGCCTTGGGCTTCCATAGAATTCTCGAACATTACTAAACATAGTATCATTAAAGGTAATCATCCAATCAGAGACACAACGTGTGACTTTTCATTTTCTAGATGTTTCTGGCAAAATTTCTATTGAATGGTGATTGCATAAGATGTTTCTCAGCGTTTCCAGAGCTTTCTTCGAACTACCTTTTGTAGGTTAAATAAATTTTAGATGAAATATGCTGTAGTGAGGGTTTTCCTGTTCATTAAAAGTCTTTTTCTATTTCTTAGATAACCACTCCTAAAGAACAGAATGAGTTATGTGAGCAAATGGAAGGTTTGTTAAATCGTTTACACAATCCTTGTATGATTACGATTGCTAGATCTGTGTATGATGGTTATACTCCTACTGATCAAGTATCTACCATACAACTCGGTTTATTACAAATGCTTGACCGTGTTTATGGGCGTAATTTGCTTTCAGTCACTTTAGATTACGAAAAGTAAGTAATTTTTTCTTGATTTCTCTTACAGTTTATAAATTGATCATTTTTGTCTGCAATTATTATGTCGTCCCTTATACAACTTATCAATAACTTATTGACTAGATTCTTTGAACAAAATATGACTTCATACAAATTCTTTAAACTCTTTATATCTCCAGAACAGTAAAACAAGAGAATACATTAACAAGAGGAAGAACATGTGAGAAAGTATCGACCTTCACTGAAGGAGCACGGAAAAGTGAAATGAGGTGTGGATGAATTAATTGCTCGTGATCTAAAATAGAAAGGGAACTAATTATCACATTTATTTCACTTAATAATTTTAAGGTATTCCACATCACTACTCATAGGAACAGTTAGTTTGGTTCCATTGACACAGATATCATTTATTGATCTTCATGTGGATACAGTTCGCAAAAATACATCAATATGTTGATAGACAAAAATAATGTCAAAACTGAAATAGATGTGATATTGTCACATTTCATAGCTGTACAACTAGAGGAAGCCAGCTAAAAAAACGAAGGAACTAAAATGATTGTTCCCATAGGAATATGAAATTAAAAGTGGGATAATTTACAGTTAAAAAGAAACAGAAAAAAGGAGTTAGAGAAGTATGAAGTAATACTTCATATGAAATTCGAAGAAAAATATCTTCAGTGTAACAGGCGATTTTCAGTCGTATAATGTAAACTTCTTGAATGTGAATCAAAATTATACAAACTGAGATCAAGAAGTACACATCTCCACTTACAAACTGTTATAGCTTGTCAGTCGAATGCTGCCTGTGATATCTGGTCGTCGCTGATTGTTGTGTCAGAAACGCTTATCACTTATACTCGGAACGAGGACCTCTGCGATTCCCACGACGCGAAAGTAAGAACACAAAGTCTGGTATAAGTGAAGATTTATTAACCCCAAAACACGACGACGACCCTAGTCGAAAATACACTCATTTATATATTGATTGTACACACACTTTGATTAGCGCCTTCAAATGCCCTGGTACGACCGAGAGTGGGGAGAGTCCACTCTCCCTCTCGAAATGCTCTCACACGAGCATGCGTTTATAGCCTCTGCCAAGGAAGTCCTGTTCATTGCCTTCTCGTCGCGGGGGTGTTGTTTACGGAATTGAGAGGACGAAAAGCGAATGTCCGGAGCTTTAACCGGGTTGGCGGACATGGAGAGTCCACCTAGTGGAGTTGGAAAACCCTGATTCCAAACCCATGGTGCACATGGCTCCAGTACTCTGAGGGAACAAGTGGCATATGAACCAATCGTTGGTCACCAGCTACCATGGGACTGAATCTTCTTACGATGCTCCACTGCCTTGTGGATCAGACCTTTAGGTCGTAGGCTCCGGATGTGGCTTCCTAAGAAAATCACCTGCTTTGGTCTGGGCACCCGGGTAGTATCACAGTTATCAGTAAAAATGCATTTCTCAAAAATACTACTATTCTGATACCATATAGGTCGTTTGGCTTAAATTTGTGAATTGTGGTAATAACGATGTCCATTTGAGAAATCTGAAGTCCATTCAGTTCCAAAGTTGATTTTCATACATACAACCAATTAAATTACAGTATGTAAAATATTATTGTTTGCTAGCTAGTAATCTGCGCATCTGTCTACTAATTTTAAGTAATTCAATAGAGTTTGTGATGTGACTTAATTTATTGCCGAAACTCCTATATTAGAAAGGCATCAAGTTTTGAACTATTTCTCATTTTTGGATTATCAATTTGTTTTCTAAGTTAGTAAATAAAAGGTTCGATGTTAACTTGGAAGTATATTTTAATGATTTAGCTAGAAATCTTTGCGTATACTAATATTTATATACGTATCTAGTGATTCTTTTTTCTGCATCGTTTCAGTGCTGAGAGTGACATAGAAACACTGAATACAATGGGATTTCATATCGTTACTCCAGAAGAATTTCAAATGGGTGGTCGTCGTATATCACCGATGTCGTGCCTCGCAAGATCTGAAGGCACAAGTGTTGCTTATCGTACCGAACCCGGTCGAAAAGAAATAGTTTGATCTTATTTTTCAATCTGAACTGTCCTTCAGAGTTCCATGAACATTCGAAAAACCTGATATTTTAATGGTTTCATTATTTTCAAATGAACTTATTTGGATTTCTTTGAACGATTCTCTCTATAAATTAAATGTTCTTATTTTGTTTGCTCCCATGCATGAAATTGGACGTGGGTGATAATAGACAGTTCTCCAGATTCTGAAATAAATGGGGATGTCTGTTTCAAGGTTTTTTTCATCATGATCTCAATATTATCTATACTCATCCTACTTTATTTCATGTAACGTTCACCCGGTGCTGTAATCTCTGAACGTGGCGTCATTAAACAAAACGTTTCCGTCACTGAGACGAATGGACTAATGATACTTTATTAGCAGAGAAAATATTTTGTCACCCCCAGGACTACAAGTGACCTTTAGTTCTCATGCTCTACGCCCAATATTTTTGTTATAATGTCCATAGGAATTATCTCTATTCCATAAGAGTAATTCGATATTATATTGATTTGGTCCATAGTTGGACCGAAATCCCCTAAATTTTGTCAGAATAGGGAGTATGTACGGCTTCTTAACCTCACATTACTTGTCGGCCAATGAAACTTGATTCTACAGTGTTATATATACTCCAATGATTATGGATGAGATAGAAGCCTTGGCGTAATGTGTTTTTATGTGTAGTAGCAATTGTTGGACGGTGCGTATACGTAGTGTAGTAGATATATAAGTTAGCCAGAAGCACTTCTGAGATTTTGTTATATGTTAAGTTTTCAGGATTAAATCGTGACTAAATGCATTCCAATAACAGCATACAATTTTAGATCGCTGGGATCTAAAACACATAATTCTTGTTTAATAACCATACTTCTGCAAGAGGTGGGTTGTATGCATGGTTTGTAACGCCCTGGAAGTTGTTTACTGTAGTCTAGTCAGCTCTCATTGGCTTCAATCTACCCTATTTAAGAGTTTCCTTTGGGTCCTCTACGTCATTAGCGAGGGAGTATTCCAGAAGACACTTAGAAGTAGTATTTTTAAAACTTAAAATAATGAGTTGTTGCCCGAATGGGTGTCTATTAGTTCTTGTATTATGATAAACTAAGTTAATCGCCCTGACCTTAAGTAGCTCATTGTTCAAAATATACTTGAATTCAGTCGGTCAACGATGAGTGGGTGCATATCTGTGTGAGCTTATTGACAATGTGTGTGGCCAGTCCTATCTCAGGCTTTTAGAGAAGTGAATGTTAAGCCTACACAATTACAACGAAGGATAGTGGTCCACCTTTGGTAGCCTAGATACAGCACTTTCGAATGCATCATTAGGGTTTCTGACAGTTGTGCATGTTCCGTTTGTAAGCAATAAGACTTTGGGGGTACACAGTATATTCCCTTCGACGTTTGTACTTTACGCGTTCCATCCATCTCACACCTTGGATCTTTTGCAGTCGGGACTGTTGTTCATAGGTAGGGAGGTTGTATATCACATACACATGCAAACACGGCTGTCGGAAGGTTCGTAATTAGTAGAGAACCCTCCCTAAGACTAAACTATTGAGACGCGTATCGATAACAGGTAGTCGCGTGGATTGTCTTGTACTGTTTAGTCTGGTTCACGTACGGTAAGAAAAGTTATCGCTATTTACCTCGAGGGTATGTTATGTCATCCGTTTTTGAATATCAGTGTGGTGTGCGTCAGCTCCAAATTATCTGTCACCACGGCTTTGTTCCGGAAGTGAGAACAACATGCTAAGGATTGCTGCAAGAAGTGAGACTATTGTACAGTAGAATGAATCACGTTCAAGCCAGGAGGTCTGTTCTCATCAAGATGCCGTAGTTTAAGGGTGGACCAGTTACATACATATATTAATTAGTCCCCAATGAGAATATATATTGCTTTGTCAACAAGCTAATAATTCTACACATTAGATTGTCTTTTTGGGTTTTTTATAACGTGAAAAATATTTGCTGCTGATTAAGAGTAGCGAATTATTGATCGGACCAAAGACGCGCAAACACGTAGAACGACCTAGGGTTCTGATTGGTCTCGCTCCCCTGTCTAGCCCAGTCAATTGAGTCCAGAACGCAAGTCACAGCCTCGGATATATGAATCATTATATTTCAAACATACTTTGTTTATATACCAGTCAAGCAGACCACAACGTACCATAAAATAGAAAATAACATTGTACAATAATGGCCAGTAGGAAAATGACATGTTAAATAAATATTGACCAATAAGATGATACCATTTCATGTCCAAAGATAGCATTAGGCTTAACAGGATAATTTTTGGGATATTTTCCTGAATATCCCAACAGGGTTCATCAAATCCAAGCGTAAATTCTAGCTATCAGGATGTACAGGAAACCTATCTACCTAAAGCTTTCTGGGTGACAAGTCTACGCTATCTTCAATCACGGTTCACTAAGGAGATAGCTGGTTCCGGTTCAGTCTTTTCATTCCCAGTTGTGCATTATTATTTGTCTGCATTCATAAGAATTTTGAGTAATGGTCGATTATTGTCACCGGAAATGCCTTGCGAACCGCGGTTATTACAAATAGTGCTAGGAAAATGCTTTAACTCGTATCTCTACCTATTGAATAACCTCTAGGTGTAGGATGCATAAAGACTTCCTTTAATGTGACAAACGTGTCATATGAATCCTTGATATTATTTATATAGTTAACTGTCATCTTTTTCCATGTGCGTCCCTAAATATGCATTTGTTTGCACACGTGTAACTGCCGACCTATTTATCTCATATCTTTTTGAGTACATAAATATTCACTCGTGGGTGCGTACTTCGATTGTTATATGTTACACTCATAAAGCATTTGTGCATTTACTCTTTCTGTCAATACGTGAAAAATATCAGATTTACATATTATTATGTTACGAAGATTGGTTTAAGAACGAGAAATGAAATGAAAGCGAGATCTGTGCTTCAATGACACGATGTGTTACTAAAAATGATTTTGAACTTGAAGTGTCATTTATTGAATCTTCACTCCTAATCATCATAAACTGGGTCCATTCAGAGTTATATTTGTAAGTGCGACAAACACTTACGGAGTTTCATTTTAAGATATCACTAATTTAAGTGTCATCGGATTAGGTACATTTAGAAGTGCTCGCATATCACCTTCAGAATTTACAGTCAGTCATATAATATGACAGGCTTTAATATCTGGGCACCAGCAAAGTTAACGCGACAGATTGATTGGTTGGAATTAAAGCATTAAACAAATTTCCAGAAACTGCATGGCTCTGTAGGACCTCGACAACACGAAACGACGTCACAGATTTCTGACGCAGTCTGACTCGCAATCTCGATATTCGTCATAATCGTAGACGCTCTCAAACCATAATAAATATAAGTCTTCTCGGAATTGCAGAAAACTGCAGTTTCCAGAGCTCCGACGACGAACATAGCCGCCTGATATACATCACTGATGTGATGACGAAATTTTGCTTGTTCGTCGATACTGGAGCGAAGTACGCGTACTCCCAACAAAATCTAACGACCAAATTCACGAGGCAGTTTTCAACCTATGAGTGGCAAACAGAAAACCGATCTCCATATATGGTAAGTGATATGTGTATCTTGAAGTGGGTTTACACAAGCCCAGGACTGTAAGAATTTTTGCGCACACCTTTCGGTTTAAAAATACAGCACAAACTTTCGAAGGACTCATCGATGGTGTCTTTGGACGTCTCAACTTCGTAAACGTGTGTGTAGATGGCTTCTTGGTCACAAGTCAGAACAGAGAATCTCATCTCCACCATCCGGACCTCGTTTTTCAAAGATTCCAAAACACTGCATCACTGTAAGCATTCACAAATATCAAATCAAGTCCGACTCCCTGTATTCCCTCTGACACACCATTACTAGTCAAGGCATTCGCCCCCGTAAAGCAAAGTGGCGGCCATTCTGGATTATCTATATGTGATAATTAGGATTATTTGAATTATAGCACAAACTGGGAATCGAAGAAATTACGTAATTTAATCAAAAAGTATTAGATAGGCACGAACGAATGTACTGGATTTGGAGTTCGAAATCAAGCATTCAACAAGTACAAAGGAATCATTAGTTCATACAAACACCACACCATAGTCGACCATAGTTATTTAAGTATATTCAGCGGCCCAGTAAGTTCCTATCGACGGTTCATATCGAATTGCGCGTCCCTCATGAGACATTTAGCAGACCAACTTCTTGGAAACGCGAAAATCTTCAACTAGGGCGACAACTAGAGAAGTGCATTCTTCACAGCTAGGGAGCTTATCGCAAAAGCAACTTTGCTCGCACAACCTGACATCAAATAACTCATTAGTATCGCATTAAATGCATCCGAATCGACAATCGGAGAAGTCCTGCAATAGTGGGTAAACAACAGCTGGCAACCTTTGGCATTCTCCGCTATACAGATGCAAGACATTGACTCGAGGTGTAGCAGTTTCAGTAAGGACCTCTTAGACGACATTATTATTATTGTTGCTGTTATTATTCACAAAAATCTTTTGGGTACATAAGTGATGTGAAGAAACCATTTTGGGTTTCTTCAAAAATGCACTAATACACAAGTTTCAATAATTTTAGCATTATATTTGCCATATTTGAAAAGGAGAAGAAATAATAATGATAGTGTAATAATAATAATAAATCAGGTTGTGTGTAATTGAGAAGTATATTGAATTGAGTTTAAAGAAGGAAATGGAGAAAATAAAGCAATAGAAATAAAGGAGATGTGAAATACTCAAATAGTTTAATAGGCGTGTTTATGAACACAAAACAAGAATAAACGACTGTGTATGTATCGTCAAATTAGTAACAAAAATAAAATAGAAGATAATCAAGAAAAAGCGATTTATTATTGCCGTAAGATATGACATTAGATTAGGTGTTTGTGCAATTACAGTTTGGAGCGATGTTATGAAAGTCTCAATTAAGTACAAAGGATAATATGTATGAGTCATATATGCGTAATGACGTTAAAAGGCGTCTGAGAAGTTAATTTAAGTGTAACACAATTTATTGTCTTAGTTACAAACTTTAGATTCATAATAATATTTATTTAGAAGAAAAAAAGGGGAAAGAAATGAACACTTAGTGAGAGGGTTCAATCATGATAATAATAATATTTGTGGAATAAATATCGACCTCTGAAGTAAACCAACAATTTAAAAAAATCATTTAGTGCACTCGGATAAATACATGTAGATTTAT